CTCTAGGCAGCCCACATCTGGAAGAAATGCGGACAGATAATTACACCTCTTTCTTATACACAGCATGTCTGAGAACGGCTCGCCTAAGGATCCAGTTTTACCATTTTTTGTTCTTGTGATTTTGTGATTAAACAAAGGCTACTGAAAAGTTCCATCCCGTATAAAATCAACAGTTTGCCTCTGAAGGTCCATTGTTTTCTCTCTCGAATTTTGCAGTACATTGTGTACAAAATAAAAAAAAAGTTAAAGCCCCGCATCTACTTGTATGATACCTTCATAGTGGGATTTTAATACAGTCGATTTCTAAATGCACACGTTCAGTCTTCACCTAAAGTTCACTCCTAACCGTGCCAGCTTAGAAACGGAACTCCTTTGAACCTGAGCGGACTTTGCAGCAAGTTAAGTGTGTGCAAGATCAGTCCGAAGTCTGCATTCAGTCTTAAATATCTGTGTTTCAGTCTAGACTGTGTAGGTTGCCTTGACTTCCTTGCAAAATGAGGAACAGTGGGATTTAACTGGAATGTAATAATGTACTGCAAAGAAGGGGATACGTGTTCTTAGGTTGGCACTATTACCCTGCTCATTAGTGGTCTGACTTGTAGATGCCTGCAAATATGGGGGTCAAAATACTTTGGAATGGATTTTCCTTCTCTTTAAAACCACCTTGATTTGGTTTTGCGCTCAGTTTGGTTTTTCTGTGAGTGCACGCTGTATAGTACTAACAATCAGCGGTTCCTTTTTTGGTAGGCAGTGATGCTTCATCTTGGCAGGGTTTTTCTCACATTCAATAGGATGGTGTATTTGTTGCCAAATTGCCAGTATTACTTCCTACCACATGCTAGGATTCCCTTTAGCTCCATTCCAGTGCTGACTAGGAAGCTTAATTTGGCATTTGAGCTCTCTGCATGTGACATTACTTTGATTTTTAATTTTAAAAGCTTAGAACTCTTACTGAGGTGTTTTGAAAGCATTTCATGCCACATCCCAGAATTAAAATAAGCCATTTTTCTGCAATAAAAGGAAAATAGAAGCATTCTGTGTCCCTGTTGGGTTGCATCCAGTGCCAGATCATTAACATGGGTTGCAGGGCTGTGCCTGTGCAGGGTTGCTTCCCCTTGGCATTAACAACCCTTAAAGGCCCCGTTCCATAATGTGGGACATAATGTGGTTTTTCCATAACTGGGACACCTCGATTGTTCGTGGGTGAAACAGCCCCAACAACCCAGCTTGATGTTGGCTTAAATTGGTGGGGCTCCTGATCAATGTGAGATTGGATACTGCCGGGGGCACCGAAGCAGGAAACTTCCATTCTATAATTTTCCTTAACTTATTTTAAGAACCAAAGAGTAGGTCGCAGCCTCCACCGCCAAGGCATCCACTGTCACTGGCCGTGCTGGTTAGGGATGAATGGGAGTCCCAGGTCAGCACATCTGGAGAAAATCAGATCAAGGGCCGGACCCCCTTGCTGTTCCAGTAATGTGGAACAACAAGGATCATTCATTGCCGCCATGTGAACATAAACGTCATGTACTGTTCTGCTTAACCCTGCTCCAATTTTCTGGAAAGGTTTTTCAGGGTGAAGTGTGGGGAGAAGAATAGAAATTCTATTGTGAACTTCCTTGAATTAGTTTATGTTAGGATATAAGCCAATATCCACTAGAAATAATAGCATTTTTAAAACTTTATATGTCTGTATAGGGAGAGACATTTGTTCTGCACCCTTAAGTGGTCAAATATAGTTGGCAGAATTGTGGAAGTCAGCGTGTCTGTATAAAAAGAGACAAAAGAATTTTAAAATTCTTAAAATGACCAAGTGAATATGTGTTACATTCCAGTCATGCCTGTAGCGTTTAGTATTTATGAAATACATTTGAAGTTGTTGAAGTGGTGACTACATTAAAAGGCTAGTATCTGAGCTGGAACAGAAAAGATGGAAAATACTGATGAATGCAGCCAGAACAGAACCAGTAATGCTTCCACTCCCTGCTACCTAGTGAGGGATATACAGAGCAGAAGAAAGAAGCTATTTGCATTTATATTAAGGTTATGTATATTTTAGCAGCTTCTTCAGAACTGACTGGGAATAGCTCAGCATGACGGTATACCACACAGACACGTATTATGTTTCTGCAGCGTTAAAGTGAACCAGAAAAGCTCAGTAAGACGATGCCACAGGTCACTTTATAAATTTATTATGACATAATGTGACCCATTTTATAACTTGTTAGGTCAAAATTTTGAACTGAACTACAGAATGTATCTTAATGTTGACGTCTTTGTTGGAGACCCTTTTAGGCCACTTTGACCCATAAAATATAATTAATGTAGTCCTAAACACATTACTGGAAAGCCCTGCTAAATCAGCACATCCCAGCATAAGCATTTAATATTGTAAAATACATCTAGCAGTAGCTGGGGTTTAGCTGCAGTTGCTCTTGAATGTATAGAGAATATACTGAATAATTTCTTTGACCTGGTGCTAATGAAGTGGGAGGGATTGGCCAGGCTGGCAGACTCTGATAATTCTGTCCAAGAGCACTTTGCCCACACCTGCTGAATTACTGCATGTATGCTTATTCCTTGTAGATCCAGGCAAGGTTGGAAGCGGCCCTTGTTTAAAAAGGACAGGCCTTAGAGGTCCAATATGTGGCATCCGTGCTAAACAGCCATTTTAGCTGTGTGTCCATCCGTTGCGCATGGCCCCGCAGGAGGGAGACGTCGGCCCTTTCGGCCTCAGAATGCCATGGCGGGTAGGCAAGCTGAGCCGAGTCGTCTTAAAGTTGTGTTACGGAGGAAGGGTTTGGCTCTGGGCACTGAAATGGGGGCTTCTGTCAAACATGTGCCACTTGGCTTGTGCTAGGCGGGAGCACATGCAGGGAAAAAGGTTGAAAACCTATCAGAGCTGTTTGCTCCCACCACCTCCCCATTAACAGCTTTCCCCAAGGCACTCGTTCTTCTGTGCCTGATCCGGCCAGGGTCCTTTTGCCTTCTGGGAAAAATGTGGTAGTTGCTTGGTAGTTGTGCCGATTGCACTTTTGAGAAGTCCGTGTCCACTGGCACGCGCTCGGAGTTTTGCCAGATTATGTTTGGCACCAGTGTTGCCTGATCTCCGCCACTGTGGCAGCAAGCTCTTCAGGTAAGCCTGAGGTGCCAGCCTCCCCTTCCCCAATACTGAGTTTGCGATTGTCGCTATCCTTGTATGGTGCTCCCCAGCCTCTTGTCAACGCACGACCGGGAATGAGGCTGGGCGCTGTTCAGCTGGGGGCTTCTTGCCTCCTTTTTGGCTTCTGACTTCAAGCTGAGAAGCGGAGTAAGATTGTTCCCGGCCTTACATAAAAGTTCGGAGTGATCCTGGGGAAGAGGGAGGGGCAGGCTCCTTGCCTGGCTGTGAGGGCCAGATAACAGTCCGGGATTCTTGTATGACGAGGAGGGGTAGGTGCCCTGGCTTCTTGCCATGCTTGGAGAAAGGAGCCGCAATAGTGCTTAATATCTTGATGCAGATCTTGATACGGAAACTGGCTTGTAATGGTTACAAATCTGTTCGCTGGGGGCAGGGAGAGAGGGAGGGTGAAGCTAGAGGCAGGAATAATTTTCTCTCGAACCATGGTCCAGTTCCCATAGAGCTACAATCTCCAAGTGAGGCTACTGAGCAGCACAAACTAATTGGGATCCCAACCACCCAAGGCTAAAACGAAGCAAAAGCCCTGAGTGAGCTGGGCCATCATGGAAGTTGCATGTCCTGAGAGCAACAGTTGCTCTGCAGCTGGTTCCTATATTTTGAGCCAAGAGGCTGAGAGAGCAGGAGGAGAGCGGAAACGCGTGCGCGCAGAGAAGCCGACTCGTTGCCGGACTGCGGGTGGTGCTGGCCTGTGTGTGAGCTCTGCGGCTGGGGCTGTTCGGTGGGCTGGGCTGGGCTGGACATGTGCGGCCGCTGACCCAGGCTGGCCGGCCAGCTCCGTGGGCAAGCGGAGAGTTCAGTGCGGCACGGCTGCCCCGGGCTCTGGGCTGCCCATGAAACCACACTGCCTTTCCCCTGTAGGATCATTCTCGCCTCACACCCTTTCAACAGAGCCTTCCATATGGCAAGGGGCTTGCAAATCGCCCAGACAGCCGCTCGCCACAACCGGAAGGGAGGCGCATGGGTGTGGAGCATGCACTGCAGCTGGTGTGGGAGCAGGGTCATGATGGGATGGGTGGGACCTAGCCCTGCTCGAGCTGCAGGTGGACGTTTGCAGGCACCCACCCTTTCAGTCTCTTGAGGGGATTCGCAGCTAGGTGGGGTCTCGCTCTGAGTACAGTGTTACCATTGGTGTTTAAACTGATACCATGTTACCTACTGAACTTTCAGATTTCAGGAAATTGTATTGTCAAAATTATATGTTTTATACCTTGTATATGCGAAGGAATTGAAAGCATTTTCCCTTCAAATGCACTTAATACAGTACAATTGATGCTGATTGCAATTTAGTAGCTGCTGGTCTCCATTACACAGGAGAGAAGTCCGGCGGCTCTCTCAGTCTGGGTGGCCTGCTGTCTTCTAAATAAGTCACTGCATGAAGGGTGATTTTAAATGTATTCCATTTTTACCATAACTTTGATCTGAGGGATTGTAGGAAGCACAACCGGCTGAGTTCTGAGCCATTGCAAGCAAGTTATTAAAACAAAATGCTAAAACTACAGCCATGTAAGGAGCATGAAAAATGGCAAATTGTATAAGCTTTAGTCTGTGTGGAACAATTGCCACTGAACCAATGGACACGTATAATCTTTGCACTGGAAGGGTTGCAACGTAAAGCTCTGTCTATCGCTGGAAATCTAGGTCGCTCTCTTTCTGAATTCCCTACATCATGGTGAACTCATAATAAAGAGGTCAGACCAGAGTCATAGCAGAGCACTGCTTATGACAGAAAGCTTTTCCTAATACCAAGAGAGATTATAAGAGGAAATACCTTTGTATTTTAACAAGGAATTCCTACCAAAGAATTATTTGCACCCAGTTCTTCGATCCACTCTTCCTGGAATCATTATTTAGAGTTTTCAGAAACTTAAGAGAAAAAGTGTGTGTTTTCCAGATGCAGTCTCTTAAAGCCATTTTACTAGCAGATTATGTAAAACTGTTAAAGGATAGTAGATCTCTCAAGAGCTCAGGGGGTTTGTTGCAAGGCTGCTATCCAAACTAAAGCTCTCTGCAAGCCATAAACGGTTCTCTTAAAGTCACGCAATAGCTGCTGCTGTACATTGGCATGTCTCTCTGTGTCTTTTTTTTGTTTTTCTTTTCTTCTTCCTTTCTTTCTGCAATTCATTTTGCTTTCTTTATAAGATCTGTTCTTTTCTGCTGGTCTGTCACTGCGTTTCTGCTGCCCCTCCCTCTAGCTGGGTTTGTCAAGTCGCCCATGTCAGAAACTAAACTCACGGGGGATGCCTTTGAGCTGTACTGTGACGTGGTTGGGAACCCCACTCCAGAGATCCAGTGGTGGTATGCTGAAGTCAACCGAGCTGAATCTTTCAAACAGCTATGGGATGGTGCTCGGAAGCGCCGGGTCACCATTAACACTGCCTACGGGGTGAACGGCGTGAGCGTGCTGAGAATTATCCGCCTTACCTTGGAAGACTCTGGGACTTACGAGTGCAGGGCAAGCAACGATCCCAGAAGGAATGACTTGAGGCAAAATCCTGCCATAACGTGGATACGAGCCCAGGCTACCATAAGCGTCCTTCAGAGTGAGTTCAGTACTTGCAGTGGTAGTGCTGTAGTGCGTAGCGGCAGTCCAGTGACCTCCCCCCTCTCCTGTTTCCCTTAGTTGCACCCCCATCGTCTCTGTTACGCTTTTGAACCCCAAACGGTCCCTCTTGTCGTGGAACTTGGATGTGTTTGCCACCTTCTCGTCGTATCTCCTCCTTCCTAGGACCGAAGGACTGGGGAGAATCTGTGGAACCACAGTCTAGTTCCTCTGTCAAAACAAGCCCAGTATTGGATTGTTTGCTCCCTTTCCCTCTTTTCTTTAATACTAGGCCTCCTGCTGTGCTATTGGTGATTTTACCATGAGTGCCTTTTCTCTTTTGCGTTACTCCCTGATCTAACCATTTCTAACCTTTTTTTTTTCTTTTGTTGGACTCTTGTGGAATGCCTTCCTTATTCACACGGTTTTGAGTGCATAGGCCTCTGTATAACTCCTTTCTATCCGGATTTTGCTTTGTATGAAAGCCTGCTTTTTCCCTTTATAGTCACCGATAATCTGCTTTTCTAAATAGCATATATGCGCACACTTCTCAAAAGCTGGTTTTCTGGTTATAGGAGCACCTTAATGATGCAGCTCAACATACATGGGGTGGGGAACATGTGACCAGATGTTGGTGGACTGCAACCCCATTGCCCATAAGCGCCATAGCAGATAGTGAGGGATGAAGGGAATTGTAGTTCAGCAACACCTGGAGAGCCATCCCTTGTGAACACGGTTTCAGACCACAAAGTCACAGTTAGAAACAAGTAAGTCTGTTCTAGTTTCCTGTTTGTGCCTGAAAAACAACCAATTCTTGTAGCTCCAAAGGAATATCTAATAAGTTTTTACCTGGTTTTCACAAATATTTAAAGATTCTTTCTGCTACAAGATCTGTAAGATGTCAGAGCCAGTAACCAGATTAGATTCAGTCTGGTGAATCAATGAAGATTTTCTAAATTGGCGGTTTTCCTATTGGAACCTTTTCACATAAATGCTCCCCCCGAATTTCATTTCCCTGTTGACAGTTTATTTTGTTTACAGGAAGATGATATGCCACTTCTTATAAGTTCTCCAAAAAGTTTACAGCTCAACTTTGTTTCTAATTTAATCTGCATGAATCAAATTGTTTCAAATGAACAAAATGAAGGAATAAGAGCATCTAAAAAGGCAGAGCAATCAGCTAGCCATTTTAATACATGCCTAAAGGAAGTGGTCAGGAAAAGGCATTAGAAAGACTCAAAACAGGTTGGGAACAGCAGAAGCTGTCCCAGGTTGGGTTCTGTTATAGAGAGTGTTTAGGACACGGAATAATCAAGTCAAGCGGCAACAACCCAGATTCAGGCTGGATATCATGAAAGGTTTCCTCACTGTCAGAGCAATAGGGCAGTGAGGTGGTGGCTCCCCCACACTGGAGACATTCAAGAAGAAACTGGACGGCCATCAGAGTGGGATGGTGTGTCTTGGTGTCCTGCAGCAGCAGGGGGTGGACTCGATGGCCTTCATAACCCCTTCCAACTCCACTATTCTCTGATTTCTAATGGCCTTTCCTGTGTTTCTACCAAGTGTGGCTTATAGAGGTGGGACCTGCAAGAGAACTTTTCTGGTCATAATTGACCCACAAAAACCTCTATAAAATTGCAGAAATGATTTGCTTCTGCTCAACGTAGCAATTTGTCTGGAAAGAGATTCAGTCAAGTGAACAGTGAAACATCAAGGTTTGTGTTTATATTTCTGTTGTACAAGTAACAAAAAGTTGTCTTGAGTATGTGACAACTAGCACACGTGGGTGCAACACAGTGTGCCAGAGGCAGGTTGCCACAGCAGCAGGGAAGTTATGCGTGTGTTGAATGCGTTTGGATGTTCAGTAATGAGACGAAAACCAAGATGGGTCTTGTCCAAGTACTGCTCACAAGCCTTCCTTTCCTTTTTTCCTTCCTTGCTTCCAGTTCGTATAATGGAAACGCTGCTCCGAGTCGCAGCAGGTCGCAGCTGGCCATAGATGGGCACCAAGGGAAGCGTTTCCTTTGGCATCTGTTAATGGCAGCTGCTTGCTTGGCGAGGGGCTAATAAGGCCAGCGCTTCAACCACGTTTCCCAGCATGCTTGTCAAACTGCGCTTTGCCAAAATGTTAGGAACGTGATCCTTCTCTGTAATGGAGTTGACGTCAGTAAATTGCAGCTGGTTAAGGCAAGAAAATGGTAATAACCACACACAGGCAGACTACCTTTCCTTATTGCCCCATCTCCTTGTGGTAAATTACCTGGACTTCTGCCAGAAATCAATTATATATAAAACGTCAGAAAGCACAAAGTGCAATATTAGAGTGAGGGAGAGATACTCACTCATCTTTTGTATAACCTTGTAGTTTATATCTGTGCCTTTATAGATGCTTTTTAAAAGTTCCAACTGTATACAACCACTAGCTAATGCGGAAGAACGTAAAAACGTATTTTAATTTTACATGAAGTTGCTTCAGCAGTTGGAAAGTGATAACAAAAAGAGTAGTCAGTATGTTGGTCCAGAAAACTGCCCTGTTGGAAACAGAAAATATGTATATGTAATGTTGAAAAGCCAGCAGGGGAATAAACCTAAAACCCAGGAATATTATGATAGTGCCAATCACAGAACTATTAGGTGTAGTCAGTTTGAGTCTGTTTTGGCTTCCTCCGTTTTCTGAAATCAGGCTTACAAATGCATGTTTCCTATTAATTATGATGTACTAAACCTTCAGAATTCACAGAACAGGACTTCCTCAAGATGAAAGGATTCCTGAAACTCCTCCAGTGACTTTGCCTTTTGGAATTGCACAATTTGCTCAGAGCGAGTCCATTTACAAGCTCCCAAGAGCTTATACCTCTTATCCTGCTTCTCTTTTTCCACCTTGGTTCTCATTTTCCTGCTAATAAGAACTAGGAACTTAAGCCATGCAATTCTACCTTCCCTAGTTATCAGGCACCTGGTTGCGTCCATAGCATTCTATGTGTTACTTTGCACATAATGGTAGCAACTGGCTTACCAAGTTCCATGGCTAGGGTACCTACCCATTCTAATTTATTTTCTTCCAGCCCCTATATAGTATAGAAGTGGCTTGGTCAGCTTCAATCTTTGGGAAATACTCATGATAAAGTTGGCAAGGTTGTAACACCCTAAAAACAGCGGAAGGCGCATCTAGTTTCTACACTCTTCTGGATTTCCAGTGACTGAGATGTCCTGGGGGTCAGACTGGAGTAGGAAAAACATATTTCTCTGCTGTGACCGACTTGGAAACCAGGTCTAAATGGGCACCCTATAGGCTGCATGAAGAACTGCAGCTAAACATTCTTGGATGTTGTTATTCTGTACTGACTCCTTAGTATAGAATAATACTGTGCTCCATTAGACCATACACCTTCCATTCCAGGGTTCTGTCAGGATGCACATAATCTTCGCATGGATTTGGCCAAGCATATGGTTAGTGCTAGCATAAGCTGCTAGCAAGGGATGGTATACATCCGTTTGTTCTTTGTTGCAGTAACCCTCACGCCTGTCCTGCTGCTGTTCTATTTTTTCCGCCAAAGATAATATATATAATGATTCATGAGCTTCCATAAAGCTGCACATGTCATCTTTTCGCATAAAAAACACCCATCACCTGCAATTAGTTCTGCTCTCCATCTGAAACTGCCATGTACTATTCTGAATGTTCATAATTAACTTTATATAGAATGGCATGGATTTGTGTGTTACATCAAATAAGACACTGATGTTGAAAAAAAACTGTTATTTGTAGACCTAAAGAAAAGAAGTTCAGATACTTTTTCTGTGCATGTTAAGCTGTGAGCCACACACGAGTGTGTTTTATTGTACAATAGAGTTGTTGTGCTTACTAATTTTCACGTTGATCAGGATGTATAGAAAAGACCAAACCATTTTAAAAGAAACATTGCCATGATGAGATTCCCTGGGTCTTTTCTTAAGGGGGAAGTGTTGTGCATTTTAAAATAAACATAGAAACAGAGCAAATCAGAAGGGGTCTCCCCGGCCATCTAGTCTGACCCCTGGCTCCAGCCAGCTCTGCTCATGACATGCCTACCATGCGCATGTCCAGCCTGTCCTTGAGCACCCGCACTGATGCTCTTTGCCTTCAAACAAGCCATCCTGCGGGAAGCAGACCGAGTTCAGATAACTTTGCAAAGCATTACAGCTAGTAACCCCTCATGGATCATTGTGTCATGTGAATCCAGCCACAGAAAATTTCAGCCTGACATTCTGTTCACTCTTGTAGGACTTCATAACATGCACTCCTTAAAAAAAGAATTATCCAAAGCGTCATAAGTAGGAATCACGGCAACACTTGTCATAAAAATTGAGACAACAAAGCTGAGTTTGCATACGGGTCGCCCTTATTCCTTTCTTGTCTTCTTTCTTCAGGGACTTTTCTGTGCCGTGCACAGAGAATATGCCCCCAGTATGAGTGCGGTGTGTGTAATTCCCAGACCCCAGATGGCATGACAAGTTCCATGATGCCTCTATTGTGTCTGTGTGTTTCTCACAGCAGGGCAAATAGGAGCTGGGATTTAGACTGGGAAGACGTTAAGGGCTCCCACTGCCCCTTGTGGCTTTGATCAAAATCACACATCTCGGTCGCTATGAAACATTAGATGTCCCGATTATACGTCTTCCTTGTCTTACGTAACTTATTCCCTAGACTTACATTTTTATTTAGGTCTCTAAGGAAACCAAACAAAAAGAAATCAGCGTGCTATTATTTAACTCTCATGTCTAGATTGATGCTCGAAATGTCTCAAAAGAGCTTGTCACTCACAGTGCTCAGAAGCATTTGTCCGTGCGCTAGCTGTGGGTGTCCCCCACCTCCCCGTGCAGCTCTGGGTTTTGGTTTTGGCTGTTTTTTGCTTCCGTTTTATTTTTCTTCCGCCACAGTCCCTCCTCCACGCCACCACCACGCCTCACAACTGTGACCAGGGCTTGTTTCTATGGTAATTTAAAGTGTGTAAATCATTATACGGCCATCGCCTGCTGTTTTCTGCATGGCGGTTTATGCACTCCATTTCTGGGTCCTTGTTGGAAGGTGAGAGTAAGCTGCTTAGAAACTTACGTATCCTCAGTGGTGGTTTTGTGTTGGATGTTTGATGCATTAGTATGTAAACATCAGTTCTGGTCACATGTAGCTCAAAAAACCAACTCTAGAAAATATGAAGGCAACCAGATTTTTTTAGAAATGTAAAGGAGAAATGTTAGATGGGTTCAAAACAATGCATGCATTCTGGAACGCTGACAGAACTGGTGTAAGCTTTCTCTCCTTTTGAAGAGGCGAGGAGGGGTCTGGGATAAGGATGCTGTCCCCACCAGGCACCCCAGGTAACCAGCCCCCATATTCTAGGACACTGAAGCAACACACCTGTCCCATATTGTTGTGGCTGCAGTGGCTGTCGCTGGCTCGGCTCCAGCTTGCTCAGGGTGCTGCCTGTGTGTCTCTGTACGGGCACAGGCACAAGCATTCTCGCTCCGCCCCCATCACTTTCGCCATAGCCTGCCATATCACTTGGTGGGGGGGGGAATCCACTTCTTTGTTCACATGTCGGGTGCTAGCCCTCTCTCGCCAAAGTTACGTACCATGTCTCTTAGCGTGGATGTCTTTGCCAGCTTCTTTGAAGATTGGCTTTGGTAATCTGGGGCAGGGGCGGGGCGGGGGGTGGAATCTGTATAGTGTTTTAGTAGAGATGAAGCTCATGAAGCCAATTTAAATTGCGATGCTTAGCATGGACATGTTCAAACCTCACAATAGTGAAATTGGGTATTCCCTGGGAAGAACTGATCACACACGCCCAGCTGCTAACAGTGTCTCTTTTATTGCATCCGATAAAATGTTGGTGTTTGCTCATAATACTAATCTTAGCTGTAGCTACATTACAAATGAATCTTGAAATGTGTTTCACTTCTTTTCTTTTTCCCTTTCATATAGGGGGACTGGTCCTTGTTGCCTTTCTCTGCTGTCAGCTGTCCTTTGTATGACTTGGATGTTTCTAAGCTAGTGCAGTTGGTGTTCCATGTGTAGCTCTCTTCCCTCTCCCAGTTCCTGTGCTATTTAGTTGTGACGTGCACAGCGCCGTTGTGTGTGGAGACTGACGATGCTCTTCTTTACATATATCCTCTTGTTCCAGAGCCCAGGATCAACGCCAGTAATGAGGTGACCATAGTTTCTCCTTCCCCTCCCATCACCCTGCAGTGCAACCTCACAACCAGCCCCAGCCCCCTCAGTTACAGCTACTGGGTGAAAAACGGTGAGGAGATCCCAGGGACTAAGAAGCCCATAGACACCAGCACCGAGTACAAGTAAGTGTTAGAGAACTGGCGTTTGGTAATGGCTCTTGAAAATATCCAGTGGCTCCCAACAGGACAAACCTCTCATCAGTGGAACTGTTATGTGTGTAGCTTTTAGTGGCACAGGTACACATGTGCTGTCTTAAGCGTTACCAGTTGGATCCGGACCTAGTCCCACTTAGAGTTGCGCTGTTAAAATCAGTGCGACAGGTGATCAACTGTATCAAGTATTTTACACTGTTCTGAATCTTTTGCAAAAGCATTTGGCAGAAGACAGTAAGTTCGTCCTGGACTATTAGAAATAATGTAGTGAACAGTTTTGCAGAAAACTTGGCACTTCGTCATATATAAGAGCTCCCGCAGAAAAAGCCCACTCTGAAAAACTTAATTTTGAAATCATGGTTTATTCATCTGACAGAATGAAGCGAGCGCTCGCGTCTCAGTGAGCGGTGCTGGCTGGCCAGCAATTCCTGAACTCTCTGACTGTTCTGATCTGTGTTTCCTTTCCTCACAGAATCCCAAAGCCCAGACCAGATGATTCAGGGGAATATTTGTGTGTGTTTGTATTCAATGGCTCTCCTGTAGCAAACGCCACTATAGAAGTGAAAGGTACTCCTTGATTTTTCTTTTTCCCTTCTCCTTTTTTAAAGCTTAATTTTTAATTATTATGATGTTTACATCATTCCCTTGGCAATGGTTTGTTTAGCTCTGGTCATGTAAGTTTTCTTACTGTGGGAACAATCATATCTTCATTTGCTTTTCAACAATAGCACCTTTTAGTGAATTGCTTGTATCCAGATTGACAGCGAAGCCCCCAGTATACTTAAAATAGGATTTTAAGGTTATTGTTTCCTTCACTGCACCCTGCTTGTTCTGTCCTATTCCCAAATTAAATCCTTTGCCACCAATAGCCACTTTTTCTAAGCTGCTACTCCTCTCAAGCGGAGAAAATGCCATGTTCTCGAACTTACCGTTTGCTTCAGGACAGTACTTTGGGGCTGGCTCAGGGGATGTCGTGGAGGAAGCTCCCTTGCAAAGGCGAGGACATCTGCTTGGCTGTGGCCTGGCCCCTGCCTGCACCCACTGCTGTTTAACTTACCTGTTCCTTCTGCACTTCGTTGTGACTGGAAGAGAGGCCCACCGGCGGCTGCATGAGCCCAGTGGTCTGTGTGCTTGAATCCCGGGCTCTCGTTCTCCACCCCTTCATCTACCCTGGTTCCCAAGGACAGGGCATTTTTATCTGCCCCAAGACAACTCGCAAAGGGAGAGGTGGAATTCAACATGCCGCTACCCTCGGGAGCTTTGGAAGTGGTCTTTGGACTGCTTGGCAGTAAATGAAGAACTGCAAGACAATCTGAGATGGTTGTCTTTGAAAGGATCCTGGTTTTGTCCTAACATCCATTTTTTTCTGTTTGTGATAAGGAGAATGAATAAATAAACCACCAAGATATATGTAAGATCAAGGTAGGGAAGAAAGCTGGCCCACCCTTTGAATAAGAAATCTGTCTTGTTTTCCTTCTTCTTTTGCCTGACACTGTTGCTGGCCCAGTTGAACCACAGTATCAATGAAACTATTGCTTAAATGTTATATATTTAAACAGATTATGAAAGCCGTGAAAATTATTAACTTACTAATTTTGCTGTGGCCTAATTGCTGTGAACATAAATGCATCCTAGATATAGATGCTTTAAAAAGTGAATTATATCTTTGATTTGCCTTCTTTGTGGCTTGTGTTGAACTAGTGGTATAATGAATGCATCCATTTTATGAACTAGTGCATTTCTTAAAACTAGACATTCTTCAACCCCCACATAACTGTGTTAATGTGTGTCTTAATTACACCTACAATTAGAACTATTCTTTCATGCCCTGGCCAATTTCTTTTGCAGCATCTACCTTTGGAATTCATTCCCCCAATTATTCATCTAGTTCAGTGTCTCTGGAAAGACATGCCTTCAAATGTCTTTATAGAGCAATTCTGTGCATTTCTACTCAGAAGTTGAGCTGAGTTCAATGGGATTTACTCTTGGGTAATTGCAGCCATAGTCTACCTAGCAAAGCATTGCACTCTGTTTAAGTCACCATGGAGACCTTATTTGGGCCAAAGCTGATTCAGATGCGGGATTCTTTTTCCATAGCTTCCTAGGCTGCTCAGTGTAGGCGGTTATTGCATGTAAACAGCCACAACACTGTAGAACAGAGCTGCTGTCATGGGGAAGAGACAGGATTGGTGTCTCGTTTGGAGAAAAAGATGTAGAACTAACCAAAAGGCCCATCAGCATTTCCCCCATTTCTCCTAACATCAGGTTAATGTTCGACATGGTAGTGCTGGGTAGTTAATGGTTCTGTTATCATTTCAGCTTTGTTTAAAAAAAGGGGGGGGGAGCTATGCATTTTCAGCTGTCCCCTGTCTTTATACTTATGATCTTCGCTATTTTGATGGTCAGCAATAGTACTTTTTAACCAATTTCTGTTCTCTCCATAACTTCCAACCTAAGCTTAACAGAGTTATAAAAATGGATACCCAGACTTTATCAAATCATACATCTAAATGGCATTTCAATTTACATACTTGCTTAAAATGATTGGTTTTACACTGCTGAGTAAGTCTTGAGAAAGCTCTTCCACTTCATATAAAAGGTAGTGGGCAAGGCATTAAAAAGGCTGTCGGGATTCTTATAAGGCCACAGAATATGCATTTCTATGCAAATAAATACAAACGGGAGAAGAATGTTCATTGGGCCTCCTGTGTGTTTCCTTCACATACTAAAGCAGGGATCAAGTAATTTAAATTTCCATTTAAATAGTAAATAGTAACTGCTAGGTAATTTTGTGAGGACCTGTTTTTGATTCCCTAAAAGACTGGGTATTCTTTACACTGGCAGATTTTGGGAAAAAAAACAAGAGAACACAGCGAATAAAAGTGAACTGACCCTGGATGCTCTGTGGCTTCCATCCTCAGGTCCCTAATCATAGTCTGACTCAATGCAGGAACGTACATAAATCTCACCCAGCTGGTGATCTTGGCCCTTTCCATATATGCTCTTCCTCTCTCATCTGTGTGTGCCCGTCCAATTTGAGCATGGTGGTTCTGCACCCCGTTGTATTTTGTGTTCTGTTTTATCAGCTCTGAGATTAGACTTTGGCTGGATTAACAGATCCGGTCCCAGCATTCACCTAGCAGGGCACATGTGACCTAAGCAGCTGCCTAGAAAGCGAATGGCTTTACAGGTGGTAACTCAAGCATACCAAGCCATCTGCTAAGCGAAGGTTCATCTCAGGCAGTTCATTGATCTCATATAATCCCTCGAAGTATTACGCTGTGGCTAGACGTGGAAGTTGAACGAAAAGCAAAGGAAATGGCTGTGGCGTCGCTTCTCCCAGAGCACGTGTGTTCGTACGATCCTCCCCCTTGAATAGGCTAGCCCCAGAGAGAGTTAAAGGAACCGTCCCTCTTCCATCGGGGGGTAAATCAACATTTTAAAAGTATATTCTGTAAACTGTTCTGAGAGCGTGTCTAATCAAAAGGCATAGAAACACCTTGAAGGAAGGAGGGAAGGAAGGAAGGAAGGAAGGAAGGAAGGACGGAAGGTTGGTTGGTTGGTTGGTTGGTTGGTGGATCAAAACAATTTATAGAACCAGCAAGTGCCATGCCATTAAGGCACAGAACATACCCCCGAAGCATAATATATATGAAAGTAGTGTCTTGTCAATCAGTATCCAAACATAAGAATTTTGGGATGTCATACTGACACTTAGTTTGAAAGAAACAGATGACTCTCTGTTAGAAGTTTCTATGAAATCAAAAGATAATGGTTTGCATCTCATGCCTTCTTCTCAAGTGCTGGCTCTTGCACTTTTCTATATCATTCACTTGTTCTGGAATTGTACATTCAACCTGAGTTATTGTGCGTGGATGCTTCTTGAGGTAATTCTGGATTTTTATTTAAAAATACACATTTATTTTTAGTATTCAGTAGGATTTCCTGGTGTAATAATTTTCTCTAAAGAGATAAAGCTTGTCTTGAATAATTCTCTTACACTGGAGATAAGTATTCTTGGTAAACCTAAATGTGCTCAGGTTTTCTGCAGTACTCTCCTCAGTGGTACCTCCTGCGTGCAGGCTGAATGGTGAGCTACAATGGGCAGATAAAAGGAGCATTTCTAAAATAGAAGGAAGAATGTTTTAATATGTCCTTTGAATCATTTGAAATAGCAATCCCACCTGGGAAACACTAGTTCATTATCCAGAAAGGCACTCATGTTTGTCTGTTGTGGAGACATTCTGAACAACTTTTTCTCTGCATTTCAGCCACCTATGGAATTGTCGTATAAGAATTCAAAGCGTGTGAGAGGAAAGTGTTTGGAGCAATTTGCCTCTGTCTTAGGTGTAATCTAGATGTTCAGTTTAATGGAAGGGGTGGTATTAAGACGTAAATATTTGTGTCGGTCTCTGAAAGTCATTTTTGTATGTGCATTAGCTGCTCCTGATATTACTGGACACAAGCGAAGCGAGAACAAGAATGAAGGGCAGGAAGCGCTGATGTATTGCAAGTCTGTTGGCTACCCACACCCTGATTGGATGTGGTTTAAGAAGGTCAATGGGTTTTCTGTGGTGAGTATAAGATACCGCGCCACTAGGTAAGCTTGAACTACTGGCTGATGTTTCTGTGCATGGAGCTACTGCACTGGACAGCCGGGTCCGGTGCTGCCGTCTCCTATGGGCAGTAAACATGCAAGGCCTCAAGCAGAGATCTTTCCTTCCCTCACTGCTTGGTTTCTTTTTTACCTGGAGATGCCAGGAATCAAAGCTGAGACTTCCTACATGCAAAGCATCTGTGCTACTGCTAAACTATAAGTCCAGAATCAGGTGCTGAACACCTTGCTACTGAAACAGGTAACTTCCTACTGGTCACATTAATGCTTCGTGGTGAGAGCTCGCCTCTTCGATGTGTGGAAACGGTTGCTTTTTAGAAAAAGATCCCCGGTTGTGCATGGGCTTCCGTATCTTCTTCTGCCCAATCCGAAGAGTGCATGCATGGATATTTGAGACATCAACCCCACTTTTCACCCTGAATGGTCTCAAGGTGAATGCAGTATACCTTGCAGAGGTGGGGAAAATATCCATAAGGACTTCGTTATTAACGTAATTAGCTTGCCAGCCTAATCTTCTTCCCATCAGGCATGGTTAAAAGCGAGCATGGCAGAAAGGGTACTTTGTCAGCAAACGCTTACGGAAAATCCTTGTTTTGCCCTGTGCTCCTCTGTCTCCTCCTCTTCAGGGGATTGACAACTCTTCTGGCCGCTTCTTCATTAACGTTAAAGAGAACTACACCGAGCTCAGCATCGTGAACCTGCAGATCAGCGAGGATCCGGGGGAGTACGAGTGCAATGCCACCAACTCGATTGGCTCCATGGCTGAGGTCACCATCCTGCGTGTCCGTAGTCATCTGGCTCCTCTGTGGCCCTTTTTGGGAATTCTGGCAGAAATCATAATTCTCGTTGTCATCATTGTGATCTATGAGAAGAGGAAGCGGCCCGACGAGGTCCCCGACGGTAAGTGTTTTTGAACTGCTGCATTTACAGGGGGATTCAGCTTCAAGGACACCTCCGTCCAGAAAGTTAGCACCTATGCTTGAGTGGGCGGAATCCAGCGGGGCACATATGCCCCTGCCAGTCCCTGCCCACAAGCAGGAGCTGCAGCTTGCAGGAGGACGATCTCGGGCTTCTGGGGCAGGTGGAGTGACTCAAATACCTCCTTCTGTCTGTTGATCTGTCCCCACGGAAGGGAAATAATCTGCTCATTCCAAAACTTCCTCCAGGAAGCATTCAGTCTCTGTTGTGCAAGCGGGGCGTCCCACCCATGTGGCGGACTCCGCGAGATCCGTAGTGCAGTCAGCAGAGTGCCCCGGGATAGGCGGAGGCATACGCCAGCCATTGGATTCTGGCCGGGAGCTGAAAAATCCACGCTGCGGCAGATAGCTCTCGCCACTCTTCTGTCTCGAGTGGGTCAGGTGTGAGGAGCATCGCTCCAGCGTTACAAAATGTTGCTTTCAGAGCAGCCGGTGAGCTTGGGCCAGGCGCAGGCTCCCAGCCCAGCCTCCCTGGTGGGGATTATACTGCGAGCAGGAGGGGGAGAATCGTGCAAGTTGCTCTGAGTGCTTTCAAAAAGCGGGGAAGGCAGGATATGAATCTAATAAAGAAACAAGGCGTCCACATGCACAAGTGGTTGTGAGAATGTGATGTTATATAAAGCAGGGATCCTACTGAAAACAGACAGTTGTACTTTTGAAGCGGTCTAATTTGGGCCTGTAATAAGAAGTGGCTGGTTCCTTATTGAGATGGATTACCTCACCTCTTGTGGAAGCCGTCCAGGGGAGCGAAACACTGTTTTGAATCAACATTGGGCATTTCTAAGTTTACTCTGCTCCAATATAAGGTGAAGTTCTTGTTGAAGTTTATTTTGAATTCTTCAGCGTAATTGAAAAAGTCTGGATCTTTTCACCAAAAATGTGTGCCAGACTGGCTTTTGTATGGATGGCATAAGGACTAGTTACTTAAAGCACCTACAGCTCCTTGTAGTGGGAAAACATTGTTCATACCCCATGTGTCACTGTCACAATTTATTCAATTAAGAATAAATTGATTTGCAAGAAACCTCAAATTAACCTAATATTTTCCTTTTATAAACCCAGGGAGATTATTTTTGAAACATGTCAAATTATCAGTAGTTCCCTGTTGAGAGGGAGTTTGATAAGAGGCTGTGCTCATCTAATAAAGGGTGAATAATATTAAGGCAACATAATGTCTTTAAAGGGCAGTGAGGAGCGAGCTGGGAACATCCCTGCCTGCAAAATTTCACAGTTCTGGTCCACAGCGTATAAGCATAAATTCAGTTCTGGTGGCACCTAGTGCTTAGATTTCAGGTTTCATAACAGATTATATCCTAGAGTCCCTATTTTTGTGCAGCTAACTTGGCAAAACATCCACCTTTTTGAGATGAAATTGCCTGATGCTCAAAGGGAAGCTTCTTGGGTAAGTTTATGCAGAACAACCTGGATCAACATTTTTATGTAGAATCCAAGAATGGAAGTTTTCCTTCTCTGAACTATAAAATGCCTGGGACTGGAAGATTCATTTTGACGTGGAAGTGCTCAGGTGGACTGCATGCTCTGAAGCGGGAGGAAACTGGTCCCAAAAATAGACAGGGCTCTGTTCATGCAACTCCCACCCTTTTTTATTTTTATTTTTATTTTTATTTTTATTTTTGCTCTGCTTCTTCCAAGTGTCACTAGCAGTGGTATACTAGACACGTGAGTGCCTATGTATATGCAGAGCTAACGCTGCAGGGTGGCCTCCGAGCAGCTCTGAGAGGAGAGGACCGCCTGCTCGACGTGCTGCGTACTAACGTGGAACAATGCCTGTTTGCAAGACATTTCCACTCAGCCAAGGCTTCGAAGTCAGAAAAGGGTGGGGGGTGTTTGCCACTTCCCCTGCGGATGGCTGCTGGAGGGGGGGGCGGGGAAAGTGGAGCTCTTCCGGTCCCCTTCACAAGCCCCGAACAGCTCTGCACCAGGTTGGGCGGCTGCAGCTTTCAGTCTGGCATGAAAACGATTGTGCATGGCCTTTTAGAAGACTCTGGTCACCGTTTGATTGGATTATAAGCATTTGCCAATGCTGTGCTGGGCTCATTTTAATGCACTCTTGGAAAGATGCATGTGCTGGGACTTACGGTGTGGGAATTCTTGGATGTTCCTTGCTGTGTTCTTAGTGGTTCAAGAACCCAGAGAAGCAGGTAAGGGGGATTGTTGCTCCGCATCGACGGCACCCTTGTGTTGTGATTTGACTGGCTCACAGCAGGGATCTGTTGTCAGTCAGCGTCAGAGCTTGATGCTCCCTCCTAAACTTCACAGAAGCCACGAAACCTCCAAGCTGCGAAAACATCGCCTTGTGAAGACATCCAGTGTCCACTTCACCACTTTCATAGAAGGAAGTGGGTTCCGTGTCGCATGCCTGCCAGAATTTGAAAATGAAGGCCCATTCATTTTGGCCTTCCGGGGGTTGGTTTTGTTTGGTGTGGGGACAACTCTCAAAATTCAAAACTGTCCACAAGGAACATGAAGAGGAAGCCAGCTTTTTAAAGCTGAGTTCACAGCCCTGATCATGTTAGGTCTAGAAATGCCAAACGAGAGTTATCTACCTATACATAGGGGTGGGGTAATGATTATTATAACACTGTAACATACCTGGGAGATCATATGAGCTGATTAGTAGTGGTTGTTTACAGCAGTTAATTCGATGTTTTGCTCTATCAAGTGAGCTATTATCATCTTCCTCTGGCTCAGTCCTCTTGAAATGTTTTCACATGAAGATGCCAGTGGTTAATTGCTGTAAGGCAATTAAGTAGAACTGGATTAAGTAGAAGTTCACCTTTTTTAATTGGTTTGTGGATCGCAGCCTAATTGGGCCATTGCAATACAACTTTTTTCCGGTTTTGCCCATTGTAACGGATGGTGGAGTGAGTAGTGTGTTTCCCCACTTAAGGGAAAATTCTCTCAAAACTGGTACATTCAGACAGATACTCATATCCAGAGCCTTTGTGTTTTGTATGATAAAAATGGCAATTCTGCTGTGTACTAACCTCTAAGCATTCATTGGCAAGCAAACTCAAAGAATTGCTTTTCTGATCAATATAACTAGGTGAGAAATACATTGGCGTGACTATTTCCATATTGCAAATAACCTTGAGGATGAATACCGGTGCATACAAAGGTGTAATATAAAAGTTGCCGCGTACGAATTCTGCCCTAAACGTTTCTGGCAGCAAACGCAGTGCATCTTCCCCCATTCCCGGCCTCTTCCGGATTTTCCCACGGGCTCTGCTGTTGGGAGTCCCCGGGCCTCACGACATGGGTGGGTGTTGGGTGAGGGAACATCATCCTGGCCCTGCAAGACGCAACACAACTGTGGTGCTTCTGGCAACTCCCATGCCCTGCCGTTGGCCGTAGTGGTTCTTGCCTGCATCTCCACTTGGAAACTCCGGATGAGCGAGGGGCAGGGTGGCCACCTGCCTTCCTTGCCGTGGCTTTCCGCTCTGTGCGTGTGCCAAGATCACTGTATCTTCAGATCGCGACAGCGCTGGCAACTGCAAAGCTGGAGATTATGGATGTGTTGCTGCTCCGCAAGCGCTCCGGGAGACGCCCATATTGGCACTGCCTGAGGCCCAGCTGAGCAGTAACCTGGGTGCAGCTTCCGCTGCCGCAGTCGGAGGCGTGCACATGTTCGCCTTACGCTTAAGCTTCCTCCCCAGAGAGCAGGAGAATAATCGCTCCGTCATAGTCAGCCGTGTGATACGCCAGTAATGCTGTGCTAAGGAAATACATGCTTTCACTAAGTTCAGATTAAAAGCATACCTTCTGGGGGGTAAGTGGAAAGCTTTTTTAAAATTAGCTACATTCCTTTCCCGTATACTGCGGATAGGCAACTCCTTAATACTGACTCTCGTATTAATTCTAGTTTAGGCTACAGTGACATGCCAGTTTATTTTTTCTTAATTTGTGAACTCGATATGGAATACATTAATTTTGGGGGTTTCTGTACCAGCTGTGTGGCAGCTTCATTTTCTTGCCCTACTTTCATTCTGATACTCATTTTTCTTGGCTTGCTCCAAGTTTTAAATAGCCATGTGAAGAAAACATTTAAATTTCCCTTTCCACTTCCCCTTCATACCCATCACTTCTGCACATGTCTAGTCTCCCTAGCAAAAGGGTAGATGCATTTCACAACCTTGCTTCCGAATTAAACTGCGTTTATGTTGCCTGTCGCTGAAGTGTGCTAGTACACAAACAGCGCAAAGCCAGTCGGGGTCCCTGTGGCCAGACGATGGTGCCTTTTTAGAGACTGCAGCTTGTAAGGGTCATGGCAGCCCAGACACCGGCCCGCTTAGAGCAGCATTCTGATGACTGGCGCATCCTGCCCATGTTCCCCAGCAACCAGTGCGTGTAGCATCCTGCCCCTGCCGGCACCCGCTGGGACTGGCAGCCTCTGGAAGCCTTGCCTCCCGTGAACATGTCCGTCCTCTCTCAAAGCCACCCAAATTGGGGGCTGTCCCTGCACCGTGTGGAGGTGGATTCCATGGACTGACTCTGCTCTTGTGAAGAAGTCCTCCTCTTGAGACGTCTGGAATTTCCCACCCGTCAACTTGACAGGATTCCAGTATTATGAGAGGGAGAAGAAGTCTCCCAATCTGCTTTCGCCATACCTTGCAAAACTTGTACACCTCTGACAGCTAAACAGTGTTGTGACCTTGTAGCAGAGTCGCTCCTACTGCTTATCTCACTTCTGCACTTTTTCAGCTCTATAATACCCTTCTTTTTCATGCAATTACCAGAACTATACATAGTATTCTAATAGGGGAAATTCCTTATCAGATGAGTTGCATCAGTTGGCACTTGGGGATCATCATTAAAATAACATTTGTGTATCCCAGGCATTCCATTCCACTGATTCAGCGTGGTTGATGTATATCTTGATTACTTGCTCCTTACTGCCAGCTCTCAAGCTTCTATTTTTAAGCTGTGCTCTCTGATGGTTCATAGAGGAAGAGGAATGCCCGTTTTAAAAAGCTCTTCTTTAGAAGCTCACGAGCACATTCCATTTTATTTCCAGCGTTGTTGCTGAGCAGCATGTCTCACTGGAATCCTGAACATTAGTTGGAAGCCTCTGTCATTGGGTGAAGAACGTGGGGCTTGATGCTGGTCCAGAGCAGGCTTTGCTGCCTCTCGTACAAAGGAAAGAGAGTCCAGACTGCTTCTCTACATCCATTCTTGTCCTCCTCTTTTTTTCCTGCTACATAGATAAGAATGTGTGGATTTTTTTGATGAAATCAACGTGTTGCAAGTGTGTATTGTAACACAATAGTCTCACTTTGCATTCTAGAGACCCCGTGTGGTGCAGTGGTTAAGAGTGCGGGACTGGGACTTAGGCGATCTGGGTTCCAGCCCCTGCTTGGGGCCAGTCACAGACTCTCAGCCCAGCCTCACAGGGTGGTGGTTGTGGGGATAAGATTGAGAGCAGGAGGGAAAGAATGATGTAAGCCGTTTTGCCTTCTTTGTAAGGTGGGATATAATCTAATAAATTTGAGAATTTTGTGATGTGGGACGTGGCCCAAAAGACAAAGCATTGACTTGACGGGGAGACATATTTTTGGTTTCTGGATCTTTTAAAAACACAATTACTTGGCTTATCAAAGCACCCATGTCAGAGCCGCATAACAATGGCTTCCGGAATACTTTCCTAATGGCTGTGTCCATTCTTGCCTTCCCTGAAACATGCATTTCTTGCTCAGAATTTGCCTCTGTCCACCACAGCAATGTAAATAAGAATTTCATAGTCTTGTCTGCTCTGTTTGTGGTTTCAGCTGACAACCAGTTTTGCGAGTGGCTTGTAAAGGGAGTGAGGCAGAAGCCCCCCATCCCTTCGTGGCTTTGCTACTCCAAAGCAAAATCACGCAGTCCCGTTTCTTTTTCTTTTTCTGTGAAATTGGAGACAAGCACCAGAGTACCCCAGCAAGCAAAGGAGATCTCCTGCTGGCATTCATTTGACTCTCCACTGTCGCTACGGCCACAACCTTCCCATCAGATAGGATGGATGCCAAGGGATGGCCAGATCAACGTATGGATATTGTCAGTGAGAGGAGTGGCGGGGTGGAAAGCGTGCTCTCTGTCCCCTGTTCTGTCTTCTTCCTGCCCTGCCCTGCCCCGTTGCTGTTTTAAGAAGGGAGACAGATCTCTGTTTGCTGGCAGCAGGAGCCAGACGCACCAAGGAAAGGGTCTCCTCATTCGTGGCAAAGCCCCCATGCCCGTCAGCGATGGCTGCAGACGTATGTTCTCTGCTACGGAGACAGGGCTCAAGCAGGACGCCCTCCTGCTCCACCATGCCCCACGCCGATACGGCATGCACTCTGGCTCCTCTGCGCAGCGGCCCAGCATGCTAACTTGCTCTTCTGCTTTATGGTTTAGCAGATTCTAACCTATTTTACCATTGCTCGAATGCAGAGACCAAAATCGACAACTGATTTGCTACAGTAGTCCTTTCCTATACCTTCTATCTTACTCTGTGAACTAAAACTTCCCAAGGAAGCCACAAATAGCACTTTTTAATAACGAATACAATATTTTTGCATGCGTGTATGCCGCACATGTTCTGAGGGACAGATGCTTGTAAAATTCGGCACAGATTCCTCTTGAAGAGTCCTCTTAAGTAGCAGTGGGGAAATCGGGATCCGTGCTTCAGGGGATTGTAAAGCAACACATTTTAATGTGCATGTGCCTTTCAGACCTGGTCAGAAGTGTTTGGGTGTGTTTGTACCATTGTACAAAACTGAAATGAGAGCTCAGAAGTATCCTTGGACAGGTAGGCAGACGGTGATGCCCGCTCCGTTGCTAAACTGCATGATACAAGCTTCAGTTCTGGAACGACCCTTTAAGAACTGCTAAGCATTTACTATCCCTTTAAAATGCATCCTGTACATACTTCCCGCGCCTGCCATTGTTCCTATAGAGTAAACCTCTTTGCTTTAAATAGTCAGCAGAGCACCTCCAGGACAGAATCGGGGTGCTGCAGAGTGAGAGCCTCGGGACAGTGCCCTGAAAATAGGCAAAGCCGCTGCAGTGGACCTTCCCACCCCTCCAGGTGGGATGCAGGAGGCATGGCCTTGTCAGACGCTGGCGATGTAGAGAATTTCTAGATCATGCTGTCTTGAGTTGTACTGTGACTTGTCAGTTACTATGACTTCTTTTTTTCCCCCCTTCAATTGCATCATTCCTTTAAAAATGGTGGTAAGTGAGAGCGCTGCATGCTTTGGAGTTCGTTCAACCTCCGCTTCAGTTTATACAATGCACAGTTCATGCTGTTGCCACTTTTCTGAGTTTTCCTCATTCACCTTCACAACTGAGTTGGGTTTAAGTTTGCTGTCGAACCTTCATTCCCCGATCTGTACCATTTTTCTGTAGTTCTGTTCCTCCCCTTTTCTCGGTCAGCTTCTCGAGGGTTTTGACCCTTTTGTCTGTCTCATCCTGTGCCCTGCTGGGACGGATTTTGCAATGGCTCAGCGGCTGACCGCAAGCTCGTGGTGCACCGGAGGCTTCCTCTAACTGCCACATTTGGCTGGACATAGGAGGGAGGTCAGTCTAAGAGTCCGTTGGACGGAAACAGGGCAGGCCGAGCTCTGTACCACCGCTAGAGCACCACCTGGCTTCCTTTTAGAGCACACACCGCCCTTCTTGGTGTTCAGGAAGCCTTCATGTGTAAGCTCAGTCTTGTCACACCCAGGATTCCGGAGGATCAGCGTGTCTTGGCTGGTATAAGTCTGAGCTTGCGGAGTGATTACGAGAAGGACCAGGGCTTGCATCTTTTTCAGATCTGGTTAGCTAAACCCTTCAGAGTGTCCTTTTTATAGGCTGCTGTGACTGAAGCAAGGCTTGAAGTAGAATGATTGCTTTAATATGGCACTACTAACACTGCTAATTTCTAGAAGAAAAAAACTAAGAACTCTCACCGATGTCTCTCAGATTCCAGTAAAAGTCTCCCAAATGCACAGTTTATATAATGTAGATCCTATGGCACAGGCTGCCTCTCAGCTCTTTTGGGAATTGAAAGATGTTCGTTTGAGGGGAGGCTTAGTTTTGCTGTAGCGTGCTTTATGTTCCAATACCTGATGTGTCTCTGTATATCTCCACTGTATATACGGCACATTGATGTCTGGTGCTCCTTGCTAGTCCTAGTTCTCTCTGTACCTTATTCTGATAGTTTGCTGTTAGTAACAGACTTCTGTGGACACTGGTGTGTCACTAGTGCGTTATTTTGGCTGTAAAGCTGTTGGTTTGTGGTTAGCTCTTTTTATTTTGAGCGTTTTATTTATTCATTTTTGTTCTGGTAACTGTGCTGGCAGTGGCTTTGCCTCTCCGTTGCCTCGAAGGTACAGGTGGAGTAATGTTCAGCTCTGGTCGGCATTACTCCAAGTGTGTGCTCATGCGGTTGCCTACACTGTTAAGACCGTAGTTTCCATAACTGCTTTGTGTGCCCTTAAGTCCCCTTGTGGAATCCTGCTGAGTCCAACAAAACAAAAGCAAAAATTCGTTTGGGAAAATGGCAGCGAAGCGCAGAACACCCCAGCCCCCCCAGGTCCTACAGCACAAGTTTGCGGATTGGTTTCTTAGTGCTTAAAAGGTGCCCATCTTTTTGCTCCACTGGTGTCAAGTGCTTCAGCATTCTAAAACGTACATGAAATGTGCAGTTGATCATAACGAAGACACGAAAAGCCACACGTTGACTATTTTTCATTTTATAAAATAAAACAGGACAATTTCCTGGCTCTCCCACCTAACGAGCCGAAGTCGCTGTGAACCTGTAACGCCACCGTAACATTTCTGCTATTTTACCTGACATTCTTTTTTTCCTCATTTAGAGATGTAATCGCAAAAGCTTGCCATTACTGGAGGGCCTGCCTTTTGTTTAGTGCCAATCAAAATTGCAGCTTCCACTTTCTGAAACATCATTTTATTTATACCTCAAGCAAAAGTACCTGAGAGATGGTTCAGGAGAAGGGATGGTATACGTGCAAACTCCTCTGCCACTGTTTTGCTTACCGAGAGCTACAGGGGGAAAGGCACGACTTTTAGAAACAAACAGCAGGATTTCACAACTGAAGTGTTGGTTTGTCTTCTCATCTCTCCTGTAAGATTGAACCACTGGAACTTGGGGACAGGATGAATCCAACCACATTGCAACAATCTGTCCACTAGAGTTGCAGTTTTTCATGATGAACATTAGAAGTGTTAACTGAAATCATTTTGAACAACATACCTTGTCATCTAAACTCAGATCCAGAATAAACAGTAACTTCATGAATTTTTGCAATACCAAATGGAATGCCTTTAAATAAATGCAGAATGCAGTCATGCTGTGTGCTAACCAGAGAGCGTTTGCTGCGGAGTCTAACTGGGTTTTTTCTCCCCTCTCTCTCTCCTTCGCTGGATCACAACAAATCCCCGCTGCAGACGATGAACCAGCTGGTCCAATGTAAGTATTTGGTAACTGGAGGGCCTGCAGCGTTTATTCACACCGATATTTCTTTTTCACAGCTTAATCCAAATATCTTTTTTTTTTCTTTTAGGAAAACAAACTCCACAAACAACCACAAAGACAAAAATCTACGCCAGAGAAACACCAATTAAAGTAAAGCTTATGTAAGTGGGTCTAAAATGTGAGAGTTATGTCAGTTTTTTAAAGCTCGTGTAAAAGAGCAAAGGATGAACTGACTAGAGAAGCACAGGGTGACCCATCTTGGCATTAAGCACGGGCACGGCGGACGGCACCACATTCGGCTGGGGTTTTTCAATCTGTTGATGCTTTGTAACTTGGGAAAAACTAAAAAGTGAGTTTTGAAAACCATTTTCTGGTTAGGATTTCCTCTTGGAAAGAAGGACCACATAGATGAGTCTTAGGCTTAGTTAACAAACCACCCACAACCCGTGGCCTGTTCTAGGGTGATGGGTAGTTTGTTCACCACAGCAGCAGCCCGCCCTGGTGAACGGTGGGGCAGGTTTGTTCTCCCTGCAGCAACTGCCCACAGTTCAGTCTTTTGCATCTTCATGCATTACACTTGTTTTACTCTGCTCTTATGCCTAGTAATTTCCAGATTGTTTTACTGTGTTAAACTGTGTTACTGTTTTACTATGTAAGCCCCTTGTTTCTTTCTATTCCAATATTTCTTTAAATGGCAAAAAGTTTAAATGTTTATCTGTGGGGACAGACTTCGGCAGGTATTTCTGATGTTGCTGAATACTGTTTCTACATGCTTATTAGTTGATAGCGTAAGAGAGAGACTTTAGCCTTTGATGCCATTCCCACTTTGAAATAAGCCCCACTGACTTCAGTAGGACCTCTTCCCAAGTACGGTTGTGGGCACACAATTGCAGGGCCGGTATGTGTGGTGATGCCCATTGTATCAGGATGCGGTTAACCAGGACCTGTTCTCCTTTTTCAGAGCTTTGAGTTTGAGAGACTGATGGAAATATCACCTGCTAAACCGAATAATTGGAAGGGTTGCTTTTCACACTTCAGTCCTATCTCTGATGTATTTTCTTTCAAGTGAGCAACAACGACCGTCTAAAGCATGCCTTATATAGCCTCTCCTGTAAGGATGACCTAGCCGATACATTTACTAATGCTTCAGTACAGAGGGTGTAAACTATTTCGGGCTTGATGTGCTGTGAATGTTGCTTTTTTTCTTTTGAGACTCTTAAGTATTACAAGTAAAAATTCCAGTCATGCATGCAGCATTTTCTACTTCCTTAATGTAGGTGTTAAAATTAGCAAAGCTCCAAGACACACTGCAGCCATCTAGTGATAACTTTTGTAAAGTACAGCAAAACCTAAAATATATACAGTATATATTTATATTTTTGGGGAGGGGAAACCAAATTACACTATATGTTTGATTTTTAAGCTGCTAAATTCATTCCTTGTATTGTACGTCTGAAAGCTGAGAGAATTATGTCTCATACGTAAGAGGAGTAATATAAATTGAAATTTATCCTAAGGGCTTAATCTATATAGAAGGACTTAGATAACCTATAATCAAAGATCTCAAGAACTGGGATAGTCCAACAGATGAGGATGGAAGACACTTTAGTTTATAAATATTCTTATGATTGCTTTAAGTGATTTTTTTGTTAAATCATGTTAATTTCTCATTGTTTTGCACTGATGTGTTCCCAGGCTGAATTTTATAATTTCCCTTTTTGTTTTAATGATGTTGAAATGTTTTGGCATGGTGATACTCTATGCAATTAGTTTGTTTCGGCATTTTTCACGTTGATTTAAAGACTTTAGAATCACAGACATAACAGGGTTCTTAGAACACGGCATACTTGTAGCTGCATGAATTTGTGGTGTGTGTACTCGTTGAAGTGCAATGATGTGTATAAAAGTGGAATCGCCTGTTTTTAAAAATAAAACACTGAAAGAAACCTGGCTTTGAGACTGTTTCTCAGCTACCCAAGGAACTAGAATATCGTGTTGGCGCCGTATTTTCTAGTAGGAATCTTAAGCACAAGGAACGTGTCTTTCTAACCCAGTCCTGGGTACTGACAGCGGCTCCCTAGGATGGTGCACAGTGGCTTTTCTGCAGCCCCCCTTCCTGAAACCCCTTAGAGGGACCCACCATGGTTCCTTTGTACCCTCACTGCAGCACATGATAGAGCATAGCAGCAGGGTTACCACAGTCCATGGGGTTTTTTCCCTTTTTACCTTGACTTACCGGACAGGCGTTTCTGGTTTATCATGGTTTCCATCCTCACTGCTCCATCCGCACACTGCTGGCATGTATCCCATCAGCCACTGTGCCCATCGGTGAGAGGTCCATCGCTCTCCCTCTGTCACCCGCCTTCTCCTCATCGGCCCACACAGAGGTTGGATGGCTGCAGTGCTTCCTGCAGGTCCGCTCTCTGCAGAGGACACCGTGGTAGATGGATAGTGTGGCTGTGGGAACCAGGGCCCCGGTTCATGGTGGCACAGAGAAACCATGGCACAAACCATGGTTTCTTATCATGGTTTCTAAAGACCGAATTTACCAAGGTGAGATGCCACAACTGAGTTCAGACAACACGACAGACCAGCAATGGTAATAAGCTGCCATGGCTTGTCATGTTGTCTGAACTCAGCCCATATTTTTCACTGGTGTAGAGAAGCTCCCTGCAAAAGCCGTACGTCCTTCTAAATCATTATCCCGCCATGTGGATGGTTGAAATGCTGAAGGAAACCCCAGAGGGGTAGGGAGTAAATGTTGCGGAAGTTTACCAAGTGATGGAATCTTTTTTAAGGGTTGTTTTGCTTTACGCAGGACTAGAACTGGTACATATTCTGTAAGCTTCTGCGCAGTACTACAACAACCATCTGCTGCCTCTTGGGATGTCTGCAGACTGGACCCAAGTCATGTACGGTCAATGCTGTTATAAAGCCACAGAAGAAAAATTGGTATTTTACCTTTCAAGCTCTTACCATACACTCGGCGTGCCCTGAACCAAAATGCCCGTTGTGGCCTATTCCAGGTGCATTTATAAAGGCTGTGCCAATACACACATTTTCACTACTATGCTATTATGTAACAGTCCTCCAAAGAGTTCAGTTACAGCCAATATATTGCAATTCTGTTGCTTGTTTTCTGAAAGCTACTTCTTTTTTAAGTGATCTGTGTGGTTTTTTTCCTTTTCAGAATCAACAGTATAGCGAAAAGTATCTAATTAGGGTCTTGCGTGTTCCAGTCAAAACGAATGGAAAGGCCTGTTTGGCCAATCTAGTTCTGAATGAATTTGTGTTCTTAATTTGCCCCTTTTTGCAATATCCGTAGACATCCTGTGATCAAAGGGACAGCTGGTCTCTGCTGCTCTCAAGTTGACACCATCGTAAATGTCGGCGACTTTATTATCACATGTCTTAATTTACATTAAGCTCCCCCAGAATTCTGAAGTACTATTTTAAAATGCTAGAGTTCTGTCTTTGTACCCTCTAATCTGAAACACAGGTGGTTGTGTGTTGACAGGACTGGAGCCAGAAAAGGGCTTTAAGAAGCAAGAGCGGCATATCTTCGTATTTGCGTGATCCCGGAGGTATTCCAAGATACAAAGAAAACTTTTTTAAAAAGTACCAAGCTGTACTTCTCCGTTGGAAATGACAACAACCCTATTAAACTCTGGGTGTATATTCTACACACTAAAGGAGGTTTTTGCACGCTTCTGAAGTTTTGTTTTGAAATCAACTTTTACAGCAGCCTTCCCCAATCTGCTGTTCTCCAGTCAGTCCATATTTTTATTTATTTATTTGGAGAACTTGTATGCTGCCCCATTTGCATAAGCCTCGGGGCAGCTTCCAAACCATAAATAAATACAATTGATACAAATTACATAAAATAATGGAGACATCCTGGCAAAAAATTATTAAAATCAGTAAATAAAGTTAATTAAAATGACGTTTAAATAAAAAGGTCTTGGCCTGGCGCCGAAAAGCAAGTAATGACGGCACCAGGCGGACCTCTCTGGGGAGCGCATTCCATAGGTGGGGCGCCACCGCAGAGAAGGCCCTGCTCCGGGTAATCACCCTCCTAATATCCTTCACGGAGGGCTCCCGGAGGAGGGCCTCTGCCGCCGATCTCAAGGGGCAGGTGGCCACGTATGGACACAAGCACTCCTTTAGGTAACCATATCTGAGCTCCCATGCAGCCGGGCGTCCTTGACCCTGTCTAATCGTGGAAGCTAAGCATGGTCAGGCCTGGTTGGACTCTGAATGACTTCATGTCATGAACTGCCCAGAGAGCTTCCGCTGTGAGGAGGAGGAGACCTACCGTTCGCTTGAGCCCCTGCCAGTGCAGCCAGCAGGCAGAGGTGGTCGAAGTTTTGTCTAAAACACACGGCTGGGGAAGTTTGCTTTACAGCTTAAAATATTCTAGAGGTGGATCGTGGTGGGTTGGTGCCCTTAAACAGCACCGCTCGTTCAGGGTGTGGATGCACAGCAGGCCAACCTAGATTTAAATATTAGATATTAATTTAAATATTAAATAATATTAGGTATTTTTTGATTTAGATATTGAGCTGAAACCCCTTAAACTTCCAAAATCCAGAAGAGTGAACATTTGAATTGATGCTTGGCAGCTCATGGGGCCTTTGCCCTGAAATATTTCATTTTGTCTTTCCAGTTGAAATGCAATATAAACTGAGTGAACATTAACAGATTGGTTTTCATAAATCTTTTCCTAAAGCACATAATCCAAGTGATTTATCTCCATGTTTCTTTGATGAGCATCATTCAGTGAGGATAGATTTGGGCCAAGAAAGAACAAAAACACAATTGTGTGTGGGGGGGGGAGGGGGAAAGATGCCTTAGAAATTCTCAGAATGGGGACTTGAAAGGAGAAAAATACAAATTTTGAAACATACAAATACCAAAAGCGCAGCTTTGGGGTTATTTCTTAGGACTGATATCTCAATGAGCAAATTGACTGATGTGAGGCTACCGACCTCTTTGCTATTCCAGCCCAATTGTCTGCCCTCTATTTGATTTGCTGAGCTGTACAGTCAGCAGTCCCCCCTCGATGGCCAAGGGGCTGGTGTGTGGACAAGTTACGCGGTCATGAACTCTCTCCTAAAAGCATGTGTCCATGTTCCACGCGAGATATTTGCAGGCAGTCGGACGACTTACATTCCTGAGAATATGGGAACTTTTCTTAAGTCCAAAAGGATGCAAGTCAGATCACATACAGTCGGCCCTGCATGTCCCCAGGGGCTGGGGCACAGGACTCCCATGATCGGGGAAAACCAGGAATATTTCAACCCACCTCTGCTGCCCAAACTCACCAGTGCCTCCTCTTTGTAGCCACGAAATGCTCGAGAGATTTCCCTCTTGGAAGAGCAGGACGGGAAGGCTTTCTTCCAAGCCCCCTCTCTCTCCCTGTTCTCTTCCTCTCTATATAGCGGGATGACAATTTTCTGCAGTAATTTTTTAAAATTAGGTTTTATGGCCGTTTCTTCATAAGCATGGGTTGTTTGTAACTCAGGCATTGCAGCTCAGGGACTGCTTGTATGTTCTACTTAAAGCAACAACCAGTAAGAATTTGGCCATAGAAATCTGTCTAGATTACTTAGGAGACAGTCAAAATGTGCTTTTAAATGTTTACATGCAGTGGCTGAATGCTAAGCGAGGACCTGCCCAGATCATCCGGATCCTGCCAGCAGTAAGGAGCTGCCAGAGGTAGTCCTGCTGCGATGAGCAGCCTTTTTTCAGATGTCCTTTTCCTGTGATAGTCACATTTTCTGGAAGTCTGAATAATGCATGGGTTTTGGGGGGTGGGATGTAGACAGCTATAGATACAACTCTTCTTAGGTTTTAACAACTTTTTGTGGTACGGAGCATTCCTCCGCTTCTCACTGGGCCTCTTCTGGCCCCACATCCGTTGGCAAATGCACCCCTGAGTTCATTACTGGAGGGACTGGCTCTGCAGTGGACGCCGGCGTGCTTGGCTTGTTGGGGACCAGGCTGGCTGGCAGCTACTTGCAGTGAGCTTGAAGGGGAAGAAACTAATGTTAAAAATCCAGGAAAGGGTTGCAAAGCATGGAAATCAGAAAAACATGTTAATAGGTTGCTACTGAAGCTGCACTGCCCCCTTTGCATGTTCTGTACTGATTGTGTCTGCCATTAATAATAATAGTGGCAGGAGGAGGAGGAGGAGAAACAGCAACAGAAGCGGCGGCAGCCTGTTCCCACAGATGCAGGATCCTCGATTCGTTTCTGGCTGCAACGTGGGCTCACTGAGATTAAATGCAACTCCACATGAATGGAAGTAACTAATCATTCTGAAAACGGAGAACAAGCGTGGGCAGGAGACAGCTTGTCCGTCCTGATGTGTTTTCATATAATATTTGTTTGCTAATAGGCCCTGGTTGCAGCTTTTCCCTTATTTGTTTGACTTGCATTATTATTTTGGCAACATGGACAGCAGCTCCATGCACACTGGTAATTGGATTCCAAGAGGGCTTCATTCCTGCGCAGTCCTTTTTTCCTCCTCAAAGTTTCTGCCTCTTCTTCTCTTAAGGAGAGTGGTGTGAAGCTGCATGAAATAGCAGTAGCTGCCTGGTTGCACTCTATAGAAGAAGCCCTCTGCATCTCTGCACCGCCTTTCTCAGTCTGACCCCCGGAGCAGACTCTCTTCCCTGGGTCGTCCAAGGCAGGGGAGCTGCAGGCCCTCTCCACCCAGGATCCCTGGCCTCCTCAACCGCATGTAGGAATGCATGGCACTGGATCCAGACTTCTTCTGGAAGACCAACTCAAGTCTGTGGGACCTGTCAGCTTCTGGGTGTGCTGACCATGCGCTCAAATGTTCTGGATCTGACCCAAGATACAGGAAATGTGATCAGGCCAGTACTGGGCCAGCCTCATCAGCGAATTCCGTGATGGGAGGGCCACTGAGGCAGGGTGGCGA